TTATTGTTCATGGGAACGTGCTCAAGGAATTCTACAGGAAGGCCCCCATCCAGGATGTTACTGGCTTAGCAGAGTTTGTGCAAACAAAGTATGACCCTGCTAGCTCAGCCAAAACCCCTGCATCTTGCTGGGAAGGCTCTGTGATCCTAATGGAAAAGGCTGCTGTCTTCATCATCCAGCCAAGAAGCTGCTGCAGGGTGGGTCTCCAGCTTCCCTCGTTCTGCTTAGATACATTGTGCACATTGCTGTCTATACAAAATACAAGTCTAATCAGGTTTCTTTTACTTCCTGAGCCTCCTTTGTGGTATCTCACGTTGTTTGTAGAAGAATCTTCTACTACTCTGCCCTTAAAAACATTATGAGCCAGCCAGTGGTATTGTATGCCTTCAATCCCAGAGTAGCAGAGACAGGCGAATCTCTTGAGTTCAAGGCCAGCCTGGTCTACAGAGTGGGTTCCAGGACAGCCAGGGCTACACAGAGAAACCCTGTCTCAAGAAAGCAAAATAAAAAAATAAAAAGTTGTGATAAAATACCCATTAAAATTTTAAATTATTTGTCGGTTTAAATGTGAATAATGCTTTTCACTCTGTAAAGCTGAAATTGTCTGTGTATCAAAGAGTTGTATGCACACATAGTCCGTGGAACCATTCTGCTTTCTGCCTCTCTGACTACTCTAGGAATCTTATATAGATGGAGTCATGCAATATGTGTCCTCTCTGAATCTGACTATTCTGGAAGCCTTACATAGATGGAGTTATGCAATGTATATCCTTTTGTGTTGGGCTTGTTTCACTTGGGTTTATCCATGTGTACATGTGTCAGAATCACATTCTTCTTGAAGGCTGGAAAGCATACCATTGCATGCATGACTCAGTATGACATTGGAGTGCTTGTGTGATTTTGCACCTTTTAGCCCTGCCAACCTCCTCACTTTGGATGTCCTTACCTCCTGCTTTCTCCACTCTAGTCACACTGCCTTTTTTCAGTCTCTGAGAAAAGACCAGGCATGCGTCTTCTGTTGTGTGTGTCAGCCAGCACAGGATCTGCCACAGAGCATAAGGGGCTCATCCATTGTTTGAGCAGCAAACAGGCACAATTTAGAGTGGACACGCAGGCGCCTGGAACACAAACATGGGTACACTCCCAGATCCCCATGAATATGAGCCACAGATGACCAGATGTATTAATCACTGGGCTGGAAAGGGATTAGGACATTTCCATAATATAATGTGGTGTGTTTCTTTTTCTAAAACAGATGTGCTCTTGTTGCTTCATGAGGAAGCAATTAAATGTGTTTGATTAAGACATCCATAAACACCATCATGTATTTGAGGCTACTATATGCTGCTGTCTCTGTTGGTACTTTCTCTCTGTTGTATCTGCTTCTCTGAACCACTCCTTGATTAGGTAGCATTCTTGTGGGTGACTGTCTTGTGGGTGACGAAGTCGCACAAGGTGTCTGCTCTTCCATCAACTGTACAGTGCAAGCTCAGTATCTGCCAGTGCATCTGCCCTTCTTCCTGTTGGCCCTTCCATGCCCAGTATTGCCTGCTCTTTTCACCTCTTTCCTCATTCTTACGGCATTTCCCTCTCCTTCTCCCAATATGTTCTTTGACAATTGGCTGTCTATTTGAATCCTAAAACATGTTTTTTTTTTTTTTTTTGACAATGTTAGTAATAGTTATACACTGTTACACTTAGAAACTGATATTATTTGGTGGTAAGAACATTTATGTAAAATAATACATTGTATTAAGGCCAATTACGTGTAATGATTTCATTTTTTTATATAGCCTTTAATTCTTCAGGCTTTTTGAGACCCAGTTTGTGCTTTTTTTTTTTTTCTTTTTCCATTTGAAATGTAAACAAAGCAGTGAAGAGCTAGCTTTCTTTATTAAAGGTTTCTCAAGAGTGGGGTACCTATTGCAAATTATGTATGAAACACAAGATTGAAGTACTTCAAGAAGATCTTTTTGGAGAGGTTTAAGAGGTTTCTTCCAGCCTTAGCTTCATTTCTTTTCTGCCCCTCCTAGTATTTCAACAGGATTAGGTTTTTTGAATCAGAGGAAAAGTTTTAATTTTCCTGTTCCTTCCTTATACTGACATATGCTTTGGCAAAACAAAAAAGAGACCTAAACATGTCAGTATGATTTTTGTTCAGTGAATTAAAAACCATAAAAGTAATAAGATCAGATCCAAATCCCTAAACTCCTGACATGGTGGTTTTGTCCTTTTTAGTCCCAAGCTTCTTATTACGACTTTGAAAGCTTTCTGCCTGGAAGCAAAAGTTCATGATTTGTTTGAAATAGATTACAAGGATAAAGGCCAGAAAGATCCAGGTTTGAATCCCAGTCCTGTCACTCAAGCTCATGAGCCAGTCACTTAACATCTCTGAGACTCAGTTTCTTCTTTAGGAAAAATGGGACTCTTAATTTGAGGAAGGGTTTGGAGGGGATTAGTGAGATCACATTGACTCAACTTTCTGCTTTGTCTTCAGAGCTTTTCTTTACTTAAATTTTTTTTGTTGTTGTGGAAGAAAACAATATGGAGATGCCATGAAATATTTAACATATGCCCTTAATGATACACACTGAGCGAGCATGTACACAGAATTTGGGAGGGTTCTGCCACTGAATCACCATTGCTGTGCCTAGAACTTGGGACTGTGCTTAGTCAAGGTTATTGTTCTGAGGGGTCAGGAAGCATTGTCAGTGATAACCACTTCAGGGCAGAGGATTTTGTTATAAAAGTCATCAATGGCTTTTGAGACAGGCTATTCTGGGTTTGAGGCTGGGCCTGACAGTGCATGCTTATAATTGTAGCACTCAGGAGATTGTGGGTGACATAGTGAGATTCTGTCTCAAAACAAACAAACAAACAAACAAACAAAAACCCAAATAGCAACAAAGGCACCACATTTTGGCTGGACCTCATTTTCTTCATCTATAAAATGGGGTTTGTGGCTGACGAGTGTTATGAAGACTTGACACAAGCAGTCACCAGAGAGGAGGGAGCCTCAACTGAAAAAATATATCTCCATAAGATCAGGCTATAGGCAAGCTTGGGGCATTTTCTTAGTGATTGATAGGGGAGGGCCCCGCCCATTGTGGATGCCATCCCTGGACTTGTGGTCCTGGGTTCTGTAAGAAGGCAGGCTGCACAAGCCAGTAAAAAGCACCTCTCCATAGTGTCTTCATCAGCTCCTGCCTCCAGTTTCCTACCCTGTTTGAGTTCCTGTCCTGACTTCCTACAAGGAACAGTGATGATGAAGTATTTATTTAAACCCTTTCCTCCCAAGTTGCTTTTGGTTGTGGTGTTTCATCACAGAAATAGTAACCTGAATAGGACAGGGTTCATGATAGAATAAGACCACTCATGATATAGCTTTCAAACCATCAGCTCTTGTTACTCCATTTGTTGTTCTTACCTGCCTTTGTGGTTCCTCAAATGAAACATGGTTTCTGTGTACCTCAAAGCTTATACATGCTTTTTCTTGGAAATCCTTCTTGCCCTGCCAGCACTAGAAACTTGAACTATACCTTCAGATCTAATGAAGTATATTAGTTAGGATAGTGTGTATTATAGTGCAGTAACAAGCAGTTCCCAATCACCATTGTTTATAACACTTCACCATTGATTGTAACAACAGACATGTATTTCCAACTACATGTTAGGTGCCATTCTTTATATTCATCATGTGCTGATGAACACTCTTATCTCAACTTGTACTGTGATCCAGGTAAACAAACCTGGCCTCTGGAAGCTTCTATCCTAAACTGATAACCCACATTTTTACATACATTTCCTTAGATCTTGCAAGCTGTGTAGTCTAATTTCAGGGTAGGAACCTGTGCTCCTGCTTGTGCCTGTGAGCAAGAGACCCAGAGTAGCGGTGAGTGGACCCAGTGACCTGCCACACTTAGATGTCATTTCTCAAGGGCTTGTTGAACTGAGCTGCCCCGTTCCTATTTTCGTCACTACAGCACTTCTCCCACTCTGTCGAATGTCTTCTTGCCTCTCTAGCTAAATTCTGTAAGAGCAGGGGGAATGTCTTCATCCAAATCCATTACCTCAGCTCCTGGTACTCAGTGTTCACAAAATGGAGAAAGGAAGGCAGGGTATTTGTTTTGGCCTGCCTTTCTTAACTGTTTATGATCATTGTTATGAAGATGAAGATGCTGATAATAAGGACTGACATTTATCTGGGTGTTGCATGCCACAATCCCAGCACTCAGCGGGCAGAGTCCATCAGATCTCTTGAGTTCCAGGCCAGTCTGGTCTACCGAGTGAGTTCCAGGACAGTCAGGACACACATGCACAAATAAAACAAAAAACATACTGACAGCATTTATCAAGCCCTGATAAGATGCTGGATACTTTCAGAAGTGCTTTCTGGGTCAACTGGTGCCAGAGTTTTTATATGTTACTTGGGACTCATGTTATGTCTTGGTTATACTAATCAGGATGGTGAAGGTTGGGTGATGTAGAGCTTCAGCAATAGCAATAGCATTATTTCTGTAGCGTCCCTCATTTGCAGTGCTGTGGGATGGAAAGGAAAAACATTTTAAAGGAAGGGAAAGCTAATTGTGGCTAATTGGTTCCTGTTATTGAGCATTTAAAATGTGTCAGGGTCAGTGGTAAATGAGTTACATGCTCATCTTAGTCCCTCCTGTCATTGGATTTTCGGGAGACAGCTGGGGGTTTTGAGAAGACATATCTGCATCTTGAAATTTGACTCTGGGTCCACCTAGTCTGCCTGGTTCTGTAATGTCTCTTACTTTTTTTTTTTTTTTTTTTTTTTTTTTAACCAGATAACTCTCCAGGAACTAAGCATGTACATTGGCATCTGTCACTCATGTGAAAGTCATCAGCTAACAGGTCAAGCCTGTAGACTGTTGAGCTAGTGAATGAAGTGGTGATAAATTCTTAGTTGGAGGTCAGCATATTACTAGAAAAAATAGTTTTGTTCAACTTTTGTGTGTGTGTGTGTCTTTTTTCAGAGTAACCAGGGAACACAGAGAAATGCTGGTAAAACTAGCCAAACAGAATACCAACAAGGCCAAAGAAAATTTACGGAAGGTTCGCACTAATGCAATGAATAAGCTGAAGAAATCAAAGGACAAAACCTCAGAGGATACCATCAGGCTCATAGAGAAACAGGTACTGTTGCCAATAGATGTAGAATTTATATATCTGACCCAAGGAGTCTGTGTCATGTCAGAAGCAAGGACAGCAGAACAGAATGCTTCTGGTCATTTCATTTGCACGAGCAACACTAAGTCTCTGTTCTTAGCCTAGCCTGTACTAGGCCTCAGAGCTGCTGCATTCACAATGAAAGCATCATCTTAGGAAAGCTGGGGGCGAGGCAGATGGGGTAGGATGAGGCATGAAAGAAGAAGCAAGCAGAGCAGGAGAGCTGGAGGAGGCATGGAGTGAATTGCTGCCTTCATCTTGGTACAGCAGTTAACATTCTGATTATAGGTCAGTCAGCAATCACCTAGGGGAATTTTGGTTCCTGGGCATCGTTCCTGTGTTTTCTGATTAAGTATATTGTCTAGAGATGGTATTCTTAAAAGACTTTTACATTGTGTGTACATGTGTGTTTATATGGGAGATACACAAGTGAGTGCAAGCTCCTGCAAAGTCCAGAGGAAGCTGTCAGATCTCTTGGAGCTAGAGTTGATGTGGGTGTTGGGAACTGAACTTGGGTCCTTTGGAAGAGCAGTAAGTGCTCTTAACTGCTGAGCCATCTCTCCAGCTTTGAAACATGCATATTAAACTGTTTCTCTGGTAATTCTGCAAATGTATACAGTGAAAAAACCAGAAGCTTGCAGTGCAAAAGGAAAGCCATTCTGCAGCTGATATTCTGTGATCTTGGAAAAATTGCTTGACCCTTGGGTTCTCTTTTCCTGTAAAAAAAGGATTGGTAATTTGTCCCTTTGAAGGGTTCATGGAATGCTAGAGGTTGCCATTAGGATGCCTAACATTTAAATCTCAGATCTTCCCTCTTGCTGTCTTTCTTCCCTCCTGTGTTTGCTCAGAGGGACAGTCCTAGGTCAGGCTGTCCTCAGAGCACTGATTAGGGCTCAAAGCCTGCTCCTAGGGATTCCTAGGAATCCTAGGGATTCCATCTCTGCAGTGGACACTTGGCCCTTGTGTTGCTTCCTGATAGTAGGCTGTGGACTTGCCTAGCTGTCGGACTCCTCCCTCAGCAAGTTGGAGTCTGCCTTAGAGTGTAGAGCACATGCTCCTTAAAGAGGAAGAATGTCCAGATACTGAGTGCTCTTGTTCAAACCCACTTGACAAAGACCTTGACAGGAGTCTTCCTCATGACCACTGGATTCCCACCCTTTTCAGATTATACTTTCTTCCCAGTGCTTCCTACTCTTCATTATTCTTTCTAGGTGAAAATGCTTTGTATTTTGATACTAAACTGATACCTTGTTAGTGTGAGACAGAATGAAGACAGTCATTGATTTGATAGAGTAGAGGGGACCAACATCTATCTCAGTTAGCTCTGCAGGCAGTGCACTGTATCATGGTCTCTCTGGTGTAAAAGTTTGGATGAAGAGATGTCATTTCTGTGTTACTCTTACCTCCTTGTTAACATCACTTACAGGTGTGTATGTGGTTATATTTTGCATAGGGAGTAATGGAGCATCCCCTGTGCACCCTGCAGAGGTCCTCTATTTGGATGGCACCAAAGGAGTTTCTGCTTTGCTTTGTGTTATATAATAAAGCTGTTGGCTGATTGTTGCCTCAGCAGTTTAAATTTTTCTTTGTTCCTAATTATCAAAATATTATCTGCTCATTATGAAGAATGTAAAATGTGAAGACTGTTTCACAGTTTGGAAGAGAATCATCCCATAAACTCAGAAGTGTCACTCAGCATTTTGAAATAGTCCTTTTATTTTTTCAACACATAGTTTTAAACAATATTGAGTATGTACAATATATATATAAACTTTGAGTCCAGGTTTACCTTTTCATTTGTTAATAAAGGCATTAACTGTTTATGTTTGAAAAAAATTTTGCAAATGACCATTTCTCATGATTGCTGAATAGTTCATCTTGTGTCCATATACAAAATTATCTTTTAGAAGATCTGCTTATAGATGTTTTACTTAAAATAACTTATTTTAAAATTTAAAAAATATTAGTGAGGTTACAGTGAATATGTTCTTTATAAATCTTTATGTTTTCTTGGGGTGGAACATACAAAATATAGATCACTAAATAGAGAAAAGTATTGGTTTGCTTCTGTGTTCTCAGTGCTGGGGCTTGAACTCTGCATACACTCTGTGAGTGGTCTACCACTTAGCTCTACCTCCAGCTCAGAGATGCATTGTTTTTAATATATCTTTTTAGAACCACTTCAAGTTTAGAGTATGTGTGTGGGTTTTTTTTTTTTTTTTTTTTTTTTTTTTAAATCTCTCCTCTTAAACACACATGCATGTTTTTCTTTCTGTATCTGAGGTGGGACTCAAACTCATGACCCTCCTACCCCACCTTCTGAGTGCTGGGATTATAGGTATACACCACCACCCAACCAGTTTAGTTTGCCTTTTACTAGATTCTAACATTTAGACTTGGGTTTTTGATTTTATGAGACAGTACCCTGCTATGTAGCCCTTGTTGACCTGGTAACTCCTTATGTAGCCCAGGCTGGCCTCCAATTCATCAAAGCCCTTCTGTCTTAGTTTCCCTATTACAAGGATTACAGACATGTATCACCATAACTGGCTGAACTAAAAAAAAAAAAAAATTTAATGTGATCTTACACAATTTTGTTTGTCTTCAGATCATCCTTTATACGCTAAAATGTATTTTAAAATAAACTTTATTATAAACAAAAAAGTCAGACTGAAATTAACCAGACTAAAAGTCTATGCATCCCACTGAAGTACTATGCAGTTATAATAACCATTCTAGGGGCTGGAGAGGTGGCTCAGCACTTAAGCACACTGGCTGCTCTTCCAGAGGCTCTTACCAGCAGCCACAAGGTGACTCTCAACCATCTGTAACTCCAGCCCTAAGGGATCTGTCATCCTCTTCTGGCCTCCCTGGGTACCAAGTACCCATGTGGTACACAGACCGACAGATAAAGCACCTATGTAGTTGCTCTTTGTTTTTGTTTTTGAGACCCTCTGTCCCTGTGGCGCTTCATGTTGAATTTTTCATTTTTACTATTGAACTTATTTTTAGTGCACTTACTGATGACCACAACAGATTAAAACTAGAAAAACCATTACCTTTGTATCCTCTTTCATAATTTGTTTGTTCTTGTTGAATCTTTATACCTTTCTAGAGGATAGTATGACAAATGCTGCAGCCATTTATTCCTGACTTACAGCTTAGGAATATATCTAAGAGGAAATGTCAACCTTAATCTACAGGGCTGCATGTATCAAACTGAAAACTAGGAACCAAGTTCTTGAAAGTCATGGTGTCCACTAGAATTCCATTCATTGGAATCTGTATTGAAGTTAGAAAAAAATTCCATTGACATGAAAATTTTTTAGAATTGCTTTTTTTTTTTTTTTTTTTTTTTTTTCTTCAAAATGGGTTCTCTGTGTAGCCCTGGCTGTCCTAGAACTCACTGTGTAGACCAGGCTGGCCTCAAACTCAGATCTGCCTGTCTCTGCCTCCCATCTGCTGGGATTAAAGGTGTGTGCCACCACACTGATGAATTTATTATTTTTAAAGTAGTGGACTATAAGTAACATTACAGTTATGTTTTACAAAGAAAAGCTGTAGCTGGAGAGATGGCTCAGTGGTCAAGACACTGGTTGCTTTACAGAGGACCCAGGTTAATTTCCCAGCCCTCATATGGTGGCTGCCAACCATCTGTAACTCCAGTTCCAGGGGTTCTGACTTCTGTGGGCACCAAGCACATATGTGGTGTACATACATATGTGCACATAAAGCACACACATATAAAATAAAATGAGTAAGTCTAATAAGGAAGTTTTAAAGATACAAGCATATAAAGATTGGTAGTTTGTAATGATCAAAATTTCAGAAGTCACTTCAGTGATGGGATTATGAACAGCCTTTTATTGTATAAGAGTGACCTTTTCTTATAAAAATCATTTTCAGAATTCTTTGGCAGTCTAGTTGTTTAGAAGTATCTTTATAACAATATTTCTTTCATCTTTGGTGTGTAAGATTGAAATGATTGAGCTGTAGGTTGTGTCTCAAGTCATTGTATCTGACCCCTGACTCCCTTCAGTCCCTAGCCTAAGCCAGTGCTGCTGCAGGACCAGGAATGTCCCCACTCATGACTCCTGACATCTGCCAGCCTGCTGTGGTACCTTCGCTTTAGTTTGCCATAAATGGGCCTGGTGAACATTAAAGCATTTGGCAAAAACTGCCAGTGACTCTGGCCAAGATCCTTTCACTGCTCTGAGAAGCAGCACTCTCTGGATTGAGTGAAGCCTGGTGCTGGCAGGGCTGAAGGAAGAGGGCCCTGCATGCAGGCAGCAGGCTGGGTGCTAGATGGGGTAAGGTGGTCCTGGTGTTGTTGGTGATAATGTTATAATTTTATATGCCGAGGCATGAGAGTGTAAATGCTTCTTGCTTTGGAGTCGGGCATTCAAACCCTAGCTCTTTTACTTCCCAGCTGTGAAAGTGAGCAAATGGCTTCACTCACCTGTGAGTCTCTTTGCTCATCTCTAAAGTAAGATGGTCTGTGTCCGTCCCATAAGAACAATAAGAGGACCAGAAGACACTCGTGCTTAGATGAGACTAGTATGTTGATGGTCCTTGATAACTTTCACTAAGTTCTTTCATCCACTCTTGTTCCTGACCTTGTGATTTAAAAGGAAGTGGAACTAACCCTTTCAGTGACCCTAGAACAACATGGCTGGGATGAGGAAGGAGCAGGCCAGATGCTGTGGAGTGGGATTGTCAATCAGGAGTGAGTGAATTTGTGACCACATCACATTACAAAAGAAGTTAGTAGGTAGATCAGAGTGAGCAGAGAAATCTTGCCCAACACTGCCTTGTTTTATTCCCTATAGAATAGGGATAATAATTGTTCTTTCTGCTTTATAGGTGTTATGTGGGATGGCTGGATTTCAGTAAATGAGTTAACAGAAACAAACATTTTGTATAGAGGAAACTGTTATGCAATTGTTAAGTGAAAACATGCTAAAGGAGACAGCAGCATATCATATGTCCATGTGGATTGTTAGCCAGTGTCTGGCATGTAGTAAGTATTCAGCAGTAGGAGCTGCTGCTGCTGGCTGTGTCAAATCATCAGTGTTTAAAGGTGAAAATGGTGAACCTGCAGGTGGATTGTCCCCAAGGGCCTTTTGTACCTATCAACTGCTAATAAGCTAGTAAGTACTTTTGAAGTCAGAAAGTGGTGGTAAAAGTCACAGTAACACATCCAGCATCTGTATAAGATAACCAGTTTATGGCATTGTTGTATAATCCTGTTTTTACTTAACTGCTGGCTGAGGGAGATTAGCACCCTCATTTGATGGGTGAGGAAACAGATTCAGAGTGGAAATGTCACTTGTTATCAGATTGTTAGCCTAGGTATTCCCCTGCATTTCTCAAACTTATTGTGGCCTTCACCCTTGGCTGGCCCAGGCTGGAATTTTCTGGACACTGTTCCTGGCCTAGGAGAGGCAGCTCCAGGCACCAGAAGTGTCTCAGACATTTATGACTGACTGTGGAGGAGGGAGCAGCTGCTGCTCTGAGTCCAGCCATTCTTCTTGTGTACCCAGCAGTCCCAGGAGCTGCATTTTTCCTACTATGGGGAGAGCTTTTCTGCCTGGGACCAATTGTAGCAAGCTCTTTAGTTTTTATCCTTTCAAACCATGTATTTAGTTCCTAACTCCTGGCCAAGGCCTGTGGTCAGCAAATAGATATCAAGCAGCTGCTGTGCTGTTGAGCACACAGATCTGCACACTACACTAGCCCTTGGAGCTTCCTGCCACGCTGCCTTCATTTCAACTCCACTTAGACTCAGAAGGGAGCCTGCAACACCTGCTAAATCATGTTTTCATTCTTAGGAAGGTGTGCATACTTACTATAGGAAAGCACAGAGAACTTTGACAATTTTTCTCTTAATAAATACTTCCTGAGAACTTTATATGTTCTGTGTTTTAGGTAGGATATGAACAATACAGACCTAAATAACACGTTATTTGTCTTCGCAGCACTAAAAGATAGAATGTTCAGATTTTGGCATGTTATAAAAGAAATTTAAATGGAATCACCATATAATAGAGACAGTGTACCAACTAGACATCTTATGCCACCAAGTAAAACCTCCACTGCCAGGAATATTTTTGCATCTTGTTGAGTCATTGGCCAAAAAAATTTCATAGACCAGCCCTTTAAAAAAAAAAAAAAAAAATCCACAGGCTATTGCTAAGACTATTGATTGCTCTCTGTACCCTGATGGTAGGGTTCCATTGCTGAAGCCACACTGTAGAGGATGCCCCATGTCCAGGGGTGATTGGTCAGCACTACACACTAGTTTGTTTTTTTTGTTTGTTTGTTTTTTGTTTTTTGGTTTTTTTCTTATCTTACTGGTTTTCTTTTTTCTTCTGGTTTTTTTGTTTGTTTGTTTGTTTTTTTTTTTTTGTTATTTTTCTTTATTTTAAAACAATCTTTTCTCATTTTACATACCAAACCAATCTCAGTTCCCACTCCCTCCCCTCCTCCTGCCCACCTTACCCCATCCCCCATCCACTCCTCTTAGAGGATAAGGCTTCCCATGAGGAGTCAACAAAGTCTGCCACATCTCTTTGAGGTAGGACTTAGGCCCCTTCCAATGTATCTAGGCTGAGCAAGGTGTCCCTCCATAGGGAATGGGCTCCAAAAAGCCAGTTCAGGCAGTAGGGATAAATTCTGGTCCTACTGCCAGTGGCCCCATAGACTGCCCAAGCCACACAACTGTCACCCACATTCAGAAGGTCTAGTTTGGTTCCATGCAGGTTCCCCAGCTGTCAGTCTGGAGTCAGTGAGCTCCCACTAGCTCAGGTCACCTGTCTCTTTGGGTATCCCCAAACTGGTCTTGACTTCTTTGCTCATATTATCTCTCTTCCCTGTCTTCAACTGGACTCTGGGAGCTCAGCCCGGTGTTTATCTGTGGATCTCTACATCTGCTTCTATCAGTTGTTGGATGAAGATTCTATGATGATAATCCAGGTAGTCATCGATCTGATTACAGGGGAAGGGCAGTTCAGGCCCCTCTCCACTATTGCTTAGGGTCTTAGTTGGGGTCATCCTTATGGATTCCTGGAAATTTCCCTAGTGCCAGGTTTCTCAATAGCTCCCCCAATCAAAATATCTCTTTCCTTGCTCTCTGTCCTTCCCCATTTTGACCAGCCTGTTTCCTCATGATCTCCTCCCCCCAACTTTTCTCCCCTTCACTCCCCTCCCCCCTTCTTTCTCCCCCCCAAACTCCCAAGTTTCTCAGGAGATCTTGTCCATTTCCCCTTCTCAGGGGGGTGTGGGGGAGGTTCTCCTTTTTTCTAGCTTCTCTGGGGTTGTGGACTATAGGCTGGTTATCCTTTGCTCTGTGTCTAATATCCACTTATGCTCTAAAAATTAAAAGGTTTTGGTATGTGCCTTAGTTTCTTGTTGTTTTTTGTTTGTTTGTTTTTTGAGACAGGGTTTCTCTGTATAACTCTGGAACTAGCTCTGTAGACCAGGCTGGCCTCTTAACTCACAGAGATCCTCTTGCCTCTGCCTCCTGATTGCTGGGATCAAAGGTGTGCACCACCACCACCAGTTTAGTTTTTTAAAGTGTGTAATTTTTGTTTAGGTATTTTACAGATTAGTTTTTCAACAGATATTCAAGCAGAAGTTTCTATATTGGATTATTTTTCTAATTGAAGGAAAGCATGAACATGTCTCCAAGATGTTAAAAATATCTTGAAGCATTATTCGAACACTTTTTTTATTATTATAAATGTAACCCATACCATGGTCTTAGTTAAATATATTTTCTCTCCCTAGAATTTGACACAGCCATTTTAATGTCTGTATGTGTTCATCTGCTTCCCTATCCTATAACTTTAAATTTTCTGATTTTTTTTCACTACTCAAAATTAAGTTGGGGATAGGGGGCTGGAGTTTACTGCTCTTACAGAGGACCCAGGTTCAGTCCAATCACCCACATCAGGCAGCTCATCACCCCATAACTCTAATTCCTAACAATCTGACTGGTTCTTATAACCTGAGCATCTACACTTAATGTAGTGTACATAAACTCACACACACACACACACACACACACACACACACACACACACTAAAGAAATTAAGCCCATGTAAACATCTCTACACCTAGAACTTAAGAATTTTGAGGCTAGGTGCTTGGTAGTTGGCCATTGATGAAGAGCATCCATTGTTCTTCCCAGGTTCAGTCCTACATGGTGGTTTATGACCATGGTGGTCCATAACTCTAGTTTCAGAGAATCCAACATCCAGGTATTAGGTACACAGAAGGTGCATACACGTTTAGACAAACACTCATAAATAAAGTAAAAAAGACTTTTTAAAAACTTGGGACTGGAGAAATGGCTCAGTGGTTAAGAGTACTGTTTTTCCAGAGGATCCAGGTTTGATTCCTAGCACCCACATGATCCATGACTCCAGTTCAAGGGGTCTCACATGTTTTCTGCCCTTCTTAGGCACCAGTTACACACCATTACACACCAGTGCACAAACATATACACAGCCAAAGAACCCATACATAAATGATTATAATAAAAGAATGTGATTGCTTAATAATCTCCCAGTTGAGATATTTGGGGATTAAGTAGTATGAGTATCTGTATCAGTGTGAATTCCACCTGCAATATGGGAGCTTATCCATTCATTGTAGCTTGCAGGTAATTAGAAACTATAGCATCAAGTTTTGTTAACAATGATAGCTGAAAATTTGCATTTTTGTGTCTATTGGTTTTCTTGTTGATTTTCTAACTCTAGAGTCTATATCAGTGCATCTAAAGGTTTTTGAAATAGAGTAGCTGAAGTGTAAGCCATTCTAGAGCAGTGGTTCTTAGTCTGTGGGCTTTGATTCCTTTGGGATTTTAAGTACCCTTTCACAGGAGTCACGTAGCATATATATCCTGCACATCAGATATTTACATTAGGACTTATAACAATAGCAAAATTACAGTTATGAAGTAGCAATGAAATAACTATATGGTTGGGGTCACCACACCATGAGGAGCTGTAACACCATGAGGAGCATTGGAAGGTTGAGAACCAGTGCTCTAGAGGATTGCTAGAAGGCAGCTAGGCTGGCCTTTCTGTACTATGTTGGCTTGTAAAATCAGGCTATTGTGTATTTTTTGATATTATGACTTTTTGTGTTCCCTGAATAAATGGTCTGTTTTGTTTTTCTATCTGAAAGGGGAATAACCTCATCCACCTCACCTGACTGTTGTTAAGAATCAGTAACAGTGTCTATACAGATTTCTTAGAGCCTGGGTGGCACTCAGTTATATGAACTCTGTCACTATCATTACTTCCCAGTAACCTTTGTATATTTTGGGAACATTTGTCCCCCATCCCAGCCATCAAACTTTCACTTTTGTTCTTGCAGATCAGCCAAATGGCCGACGACACAGTTGCAGAGCTGGACAGGCATTTGACAGCAAAGACCAAAGAACTCCTTGGATGAAAGTCAGCAGTCACATTTTCTGGTCATCCCTTAGATGACAAGCTGGTGCCTTCCACCCCCATGTCCATCCATCACTGCTGCTCCACAGGAGGCTCAGGCTCACTGAATCTATTCCTGCTTCCTTGCATAGCCCTGTTTGGCTCAGAATCTTCTGGTGTGATGGCCTCAGAGGATATCAATTGTGCAGTGACTTTGACTCTGTCATCACCACAAGACTGCCTCCTTTCCGACAGTGAATCAGACCCTGCCCTTGTTTCTAACTCATTTGGACTAATGTGGGCCTTCATGTGACTGCTCATGATCAAACCTAAATAAATTGGAAAATTAACCACAAGAAAAACAGAGTGGTTTGGGTGGGAAAGCCCCCAGAACCTCTTTATAAAGCAACCAAGAGCAGTCTCTGCCTCCTGATCTAGGCCCCATTTTGGGCTCGTGGGCTCCTATATTGAAACCTCTGTTTTTCTTTTCTGTTAGTCTGTATCTTGACAAAATAACTAGAGAATGATGGTTGAAGCTATCTGTGTATTTATGTTGTGAGTAAGTTGGCAGCTGCTCACCAAATGCTTTTCTTTCTGTCATTCCACTCTCATCTCTGTCAACATATTTTTGGTAATGATCTCTGTTTGGCTAGGGCCTGTCTTCCTGATGGACAGGTGCTTTGTTGTGGCCCATCCTTTTTCTTTCTTTTTTTTTTTTTTTTTTTTTTTTTTTTTTTGGCATTTCTGTGTATATACACATGCACACATGAAGGCACATGCCGTAGCATGTAGAGATCAGACAACTCCCAGAAGTCAGAAGTCAGTTCTTCCACCATGTGGGACCTGGGGCTAGAACTCAAGACTCTAACAGTTAGCACCATGTGCCTTTATCTGCTGAGCTAACTCACCTGTTGTGGCATGACTTTGAGGGCCAGGTTAAGTTAGTTTGTCTTTTTTTTTCTCCTGCAATCTTTTTTTTTTTTTCCATTCAATTATAATAGAACCATCAGAAGCTAAGCTATTTTGTAGGCATTATTTGTAATTTTCACAGGAAACTAGACATATATGTACCACCTACACTTAAAAGCATGGGAACAAACATGCCTCTATTAAGGAAATGAATCCTCCCAGACAGTAAAGTAGGGAAGTAGTCCGCTACAGTTGACTAAGGAGCATTTTCATTGTTATCAGCCTCGTTTCACAAGATGTAAAGTTTCTCCAGCAGTGTCACACAGCTAGCAAGCAGCAAAGCAGGGCTAAAAAGTTTTTAATCTCTAATGCCAAAGTCTGTCCCTCCCACTGATGTCAGGTAAAACCTTACCTTTTTCCCACTGTCCTCTCCTGCTTGTCATGAACACTCCTGTAATAAATGTGTGCAGCTTTCCCACATACCAGGTTCTCGAGAGGACACCAGCCAGGTGTCCTGTACTGTTTTGAGATATGTCTACCTGTAGACAGTTGGGTTCTGCACTTATCCCTGAAAAAAAGAGCCCTATTCCTGTTGACAGTAGCAAGTCTGGACCACATAAACCTAGCTTCCAGGCCCTTCTGTGGTCCAGGTAATGAGCCAGCATGCTGCTCAGGACTTGGGAGGTAGGTTTACTGGCTTCCTAGAAAGCATGCTATGAAGGGTGTGAATGAGTAGGATGGCACAAGATGCTGGGGAGGCGGGGCTCCGTTCCAAAGCACACTCCCAGCACTGCCAGGTTGTCTAACCAGAAGCCATTGCCACCTGCTGTCTTACAGGATCTAGTGATCACCAGCAGTTTGTTGCGTGCTGCCGAGTTGTGACCTCTGGCACTGAGTACTACTATCTGAGATGAGTTCCCTCATAATGTCTCAAGCAGAAAGGTCTATTCTGTTCTAGGTGGTGTGGCCTGCCTAGGTAATGAGCCTCTGCTGCTGCCTCTGCCCACCTTGGTGGGACCTGCTGTGAAATAGTGAGAATTTAAGGTTAGGATTGGGCCAAGGCTGGCCTACTCAAAGCCAGAGACCAGTGGGAAGTTAGCCAGGGGAAAGGCCACACAGGTTTGCAGAGCCCCAGTTCTGTGAATGGTGGAATTCTCACTGCAAGTGTGCTGCTCAGAGACGCAGGACTTTTTAATAAACAGAGGAAATGATAAATTATGTTGTAACTCCACTCCAAAGGCATTTGGTTCTTAACAGCCAAATCCTCTGTAGTCTTTAAATAAACAAAACTTATTTGGTGAACAGACGGGGTTTGGGGGGGGATGAAAGATTTTCAGTACTTGGGTTCCACATGTCAACAATTTCTCTCCTGTGTGTATGTTGGCCAAAGCCATATATCATGATAAATGAATAAAGGAAAGCCCCAGGCCCAGGGCGGTGGGACGGCTCAGCAAATGGTTTTCAGCTGATTGCTCTATTTCAGTTGACATTTATCAAAGAAGCTTTGCTGCCCTGTGTGTTAGGGATATATTGATGGCAGGGTCCAGAAGGCAACTACTTGATTGGGTATACTGAGATACATGGTACAGGAGCTGGTAACTTACCCCTGTCTCCCGTGGCAGACAGTCTCACACTGGAAGTTCTTACATTAGCAGAAGTAAATACCTCCCATGTTCAGTTTGGTGACTCTCAAAGTCCCATGAAAAACTTGGTTTTAGCCTGCTTTAAAATCTTCCTTTTGGTGTATATATGTGTGCACAAGTGTGCAGATCTCACAAAAGAAACATAAATTTTAACAATGAAATTTCTCAGGATTGGGGAGGTGGTTTGGGTGGTCAGAGTGCTTGCTGCGTGCATAGAACCTGAATTTGACACCTCAACATCCACAGAAAAAGCCGGACACTGTATGTGCCCTGGGTGGACAGACAGGTGACTTCCAGAGCTCCATTACCCTGACTCCATGAGAGCTAAAATAGTGGGCTTCCAGTTCAGTGAGAGAGCCTGTCCCAAGAGAATAGTTGAGAGGTGGGTTGACTCCTGACACTCTGCTCTGCCTTCTGCATGTGTGCACCTGTCCACTTACATATGCCTGCCCTACCCTTAGACAAATTTTAAAATAATTTCTCACACACAAAAAAAAGAAATTTCTTAGGCATTGGTGGCACACGCCTTTAGTCCCAACACTTGGGAAGCAGAGGCAGGCAGGTCTCTGTGAGTTTGAGGCCAACCTGGTCTACAGAGCTAGTTCCAAAGCAATACAGAGAAACCCTGTCTTGAAAAACAAAACAAAATCTCACAACTCTCTGGTCATAGCCCCATTTAAAGTGATGTATAAAAAGAGGAGAACTGTTGTGCTTTTTGTTTTGTTTTTTCTGGTTTACTTTTTTTAAGCTGCCATGGCCATCTGTCCATGTGTATATGCAGACAATCCCTTCCCCTGCTGCACTGTTAACTTGTTTGACTACTAACCCCATAGTATTTTTTTAAATAGCCCAGTGCATTGGAGGATGTTTTTTCTTAGGTTTTTTTTTTCTTTTTTCTTTTTGATGATTAAAGGATCACTATTCACCAGATTTGAAGGCTTATGACTGTAACCTGATACTTGAGAGGCTGAGTTTGAGGCCAGCCTGGGCTACAGTCCCATCTTTTAGAGAGAGTGAATGCAGTGACTCAGCAAGTAAAAGCACTGAGTTCAATCCTGGGGACCTATATGGTGGAAGGAGAAAGCCGACTCCCTCAGTTGTCCCTGACCCCCATATGTATGCCTTGAAACACATACTCACACAGTAAATAAATAATTGTTAAATTTTTATTTTAAAAAAGGACCCCCTATTCTTAGATGATCTGGTAAATTTTTCTTTTAATCCTATAGCTACAGACATGATTATTGAATGTCTACTGTGAACTAAGCAACACACTAGACCTTAACATGTGTCACTCCACGTAAGCTTAGTTGGTGTAGGTGCTGCTATGTGTGTTTGTGTAACTTGCCTGTACTCATACAGTCTGGTGAGCACTGGAGTGAGGTTTCAAACTCAGTATAACTTCCAAGCAGGTTTTGCTCTGTGTATCTCACATTCCACATGTGTGTGGCACTCCCATTGGCAGGGCAGCAATGGACATTTGCTGGGTACAGCGGCCAGCCATCTCTGATGAAAGACGAAGGCGCTCGCCTTGAGTCCCATTACTTAGAAGGCAAAGGTGGGCAGGCCTATGAGTTTGAGGACAGCCGGGTTTATAGAATGGGCTACACAGAGAAACTGTATTGGAAAAAAAGGAGAGGAGAATGGAAAGAAGAAATGGTGTCTAATTTTCTAGAGTCTGAAATTTTGGCCTTTTAGTGAGTCTGTCAGCCTTGTGAATAGCATTTCTTCATCTCCATTCAACTGCTGATCTGTCTGCCACTGAAGCCAAGCTGGAGTCCAGGACAACATCACTTCGTGTTGAGTTGCCATGTACTGTGTGTGAGTGTGTGTGAGAGTGTAGTGTGAGAGTGTGTAGTTTGTGTATGTGTGTGGGGGAGAATGGTATTGTGAGTGTGTATGGTGTGAGTGTGGTGTGTGTGGTGTGAGTATGTGCATGGGACAGTGGTATGTGAATGTGCAGTGTGTGTGGTGGCTGTGTGTGTGTGGTGTGAGTGTGTATGTGTGGGAGAGTGCTGTATGTGTGAGGTGTGTGAGTGTGTGTGGTGGCTGTGTGTGAGTGTGTGTGTGTGTGGTGTGAGTGTGTATGTGTGGGAGAGTGGTGTGAGTGTGTGTGGGACAGTGGTGTGTGAGTGTGTGTGTGTGGTGTGTGTAGAGTGTGTGTGAGTGTGGTGTGTGTTGGTTTGCTTGTTTTTCTGTACTTTGTGGTGTTTTCATTCTCTATTTCTTTGCTTTTAAAAAGCCCTTCAGAGCCCCAAGTTGCAGTGTGCTCTGGGCTTTATTACTCCAAGCCATCCTAAAACTTGCATCTTCCCTTTTCTTTTGAATGTCTTAGGCATCTTAGCCATTTTTAAGTGCTCAGAGCTATTGAGCATATTTATATTATTGTCTAATCAGTCTCTGGGACTCCTCACCACAAAAAAACTGAAACCCTAGACCCATCAAACAAACACTAGCTCTGTCCCCACTTCCCATCCCCTGGGGCCACTATTGTCCCTTCTCTGAATTGGACCTCTCTAGGATGTTGCAGAGACTTACACAGAACGTATCTGTGACTGGTTTATGTCACTGGGTTAGGGTCCTCAGTATCCATGTTATATCATGTGTCAGAATTTTTTGATTTCAAGGATAAAGAATATTCTTTATTCTTTCTGTATTTACAGAACTCCTTACAATTATTTTGCATTGATTGGTAACACTGATGTGTTTAGAAAATCCATTTGCTCTATAATATTAACACTGAGCTGTAAGACATGGCTGCTTCTGCTCTGAGGAAGGTAGGTGCTGACTGAGCAAAC